ATTTTAGGAAGATTTCGTTTGAGAGCATAATTTATATATAAGAAATATGATATGTGTCATGCACATAAAATATATTTACGTTTATTTCTATACGTTTTTTATTTATATGTGGCGCTCGCCACTGTAAACACGGTATAATTGTCTTTTGCCGAATCGATCACTATCTATTTTCGATTGTATTGCTCTCTCACTCTTGTATTGGCAGATGATCAAAACAAGTTAAGTTTTCGCTGGTAAATTGATACACATATTTTTCTGATTAATACGTAACGCGTTATTAAATTGCCAAAATAAAGTTTAATCTGTTCCATCACAAACCGGTTTGTATTGATTGCCGTTTCGCGCAACCAAAGCGCTAAATATATATACAATGTACATACATACATACATATGAGTTTCTTTGAGGTATTTTTATGTCATTGCTCCATATCTACCCTCACACTCAAATTTAAATATTGAACACACACTTTTGAAGGTCCGCTTTACCGCTTTCGGAAAAAAATTCAAATTTTTACATAGGGTTGCCATCTGTCTGAAAATAAAGTGAATAAAATATTTAAGTGGCGTAAAATTTTGCAACGCTTTTATCGAACGAAAGACATTTCAGTGCGCTTTTATCAAGAGGTAATATTTTTAATAGGGTTGCCACCTGCATAAAAAGTTAAATTAAATTTATTATACAATATAGAGATTTTCGGGATTCTTGGGACTTATCGATATAATAATCGATATTTTTATCGGGGTTGTTATCGATATTTTTATCGAATTTGTTATCGATTTTGATATCGACTATTTATTGATTTTGTTATCGATTTTCCTATCGATATTTTATTGATTTTCTAATCGATTTTTATTATCGATTTTGTTATCAATTATTTACCGATTTTGTTATCGATATTTTTATCCAATGTTACTATCGATTTTGCTATCGAAATTTTTAACGGATTTGCCATCGATTTTGTAATCGATATTTCTGATCGATATCAATTGCATCAATTCACCCTTTTCCTCTAAAAAGATTTTTGCTTCAAAAAATAAAACTAAGGTCCTTAATTTGACATCTAATTTTTAAAATTCGAAAGAACTGTGCAGATCTGATCTCCTTCACAAAAAATTGCTTCACGTATTCGAACACCTATATTTTAATACACAAATATGCATGTATTTCATTTACCCAACTCCCTTAATTTTAGTTGAATTTGACGTTTTAAACGGGTGGCAACACTCCTACATATTTACTAGAAATGGATCGTTTTCAAACCAATTTATAGTAATATCCATACTTTAATAACTGATTTAACTTATTAAATAATTTTAATTAAAATTTTTAACTGGTGGCAACACTTAAAAAAAAATTAAACCTTAGTACACATCAACAGGCCAAGCGCTTTAATATCACACCCCATTTTTGGAAATCGAACGAATGCAAACCTGATCACATTCAACAAAAAAAAATGTCTTCGTATGTTATACGTAGAATCCAAACCCATAAAGAGAACATACAACTTCACGTGCAGTTTGACCTTCCTATGTGAAGTTTCCAAATTCTACGTCCAGGTTGCTTGATACTTAAGTATGTCAGCATAGCGGAAGACGTATTTGGTGAAGGAGAGCGTCGTCGAGTAACATCGTTCAGGTACGCTCATTTGGGATGTTCTCTACTTTTGTTTCTTTTTTTTTTTGGGTACCGCAAGCATGTGTTCCTATTTTGCGATTGAATGTGAGAAGTGCAGTTTGGCTGGGAACTTTGCAGCCGTAATA